GGCAGGCCCGCTTCAACCTCTAAAGTTTATCAATTCAAAGCAAAGCAATATAAACTCAACTGCACAATGTACTTAACTCCCCTGAAGGTATCCCTTAATTCTCACCCACCGGGGTAGGTTTCCATTCTCTGTGTCTGAGTGGCCTCTGGCCATGAGCAGCTAGTGTCCTTCCAGAAGCACTGTGTCTGTCCCTCGGTTGGCTTTGGGAAGACATAATTCCATAGAACTCACCTGGTTCTCTCATCAACAACAGTGCTGGGGGTGAAGGCCCCTCTTGGTTTCTGATGCCTGCGCCTTCTATCCTTGGCCCTTTGACTCTGGCTGATGTGTCTTTGTGTTGTTTGTCCTTTACACACGACTCAGAAGTGACTAGGTTTAGGACCCACCCAAATTTGGCAAGGCCTCACGGACAACATAAAAAACTGTTCCCAAACATTCTATTTCCAGATACAGGGGTTAGGCCAGCTGAATGGCTTGGTAGGTGATGGGGGGGTGGGGGGAAGCAGTGGGGTAGAGAGAGGGCACCGTTCACAAGTCCCTGGCTGCTAGCTTGTCTTTCTTGAAACCGGTATAAAGTTGACCTTCCCCTTGTCTGACAGGTGGGCATCAACTACCAGCCCCCCACCGTGGTCCCCGGGGGAGACCTGGCCAAGGTGCAGCGTGCCGTGTGTATGTTGAGCAACACCACGGCCATCGCCGAGGCCTGGGCTCGCCTGGACCACAAGTTCGACCTTATGTACGCCAAGCGCGCCTTCGTGCACTGGTACGTGGGCGAAGGCATGGAGGAAGGGGAGTTCTCCGAGGCCCGGGAGGACCTGGCTGCGCTGGAGAAGGATTACGAAGAGGTGGGCGTGGACTCCGTGGAAGCAGAGGCCGAGGAAGGAGAAGAGTACTAGGCGCAGTGGCCGCCAGCCCTTTGTCCCCCCCGCCCCCTGTAAGATGACAGATTCACCTATTAAAGTTTCTGTATCAAAGCAACCTCTATCCCTGTGCGTCATTTGGGCCAAGTATCCAATCCAGGAGAACACACCATCAGCTCTCAGAACAAACATGATAAGCACATTGGTTACTGCAGTACTCTTGGTTGAGGAGGATACAAAATAACTTTATTTCAAAACATTTAGACGTGAAGTCCTTAACTCTCCAGGCTCAGTGACCTTTGGTGAGATAGTCCTGTTTGTTCTGCCCAGAGAGGAAGTTGACAGTGTGGCGTTCACCCCTTTTCGTGGGTAGGGAGCAGTTTTGAGATTTCCTGAAAGCTCGGTATTCCTGTCTCAGGCTGCCACAGCAGGGTCTCTGAGCATGTGGCTCAGTGTCCCCTAAGCTGGCCTGCAGAGGCCAAGAAAGTGTCCCTGCCCCCCCACACTCACCAGCCTAGCTGGGTTTGAGGTCATGATGCCCTGTGAGGGGGCATACTCGCTGCTGGAACCCCGGAGTGTGACTGGGATCTTGGAGAGCTGACGTGGTGTCTACTGCTTTGGGTGGCTAGGTGGCCCGTGCACAAGGGAAGTCGGCTGTCTTGTACCCCACCTCGTGGGCCTGTGGCTAATTGGGGTGCAAGGCAAGTGGGATTTCTCACAAGCCTGGAGGAAATGCTCAGGATTGAAACAGATGCACCAAATTCAAAGCAAACCACGTTGGTTTTCTCCATGAATTGGTCGTTTCTCGGCCGGAAACTTTGGCTCAATGTAACCAAAGTGTGCTTTTAAAAGCACTACCGTGGGGCCAATTAACCCAGAGTTGTCCCGTTGTACAGGGTACGGTCCCTAGGGTTTCTGAGGCTGGGTTTTTACAGAAGCCGAGAGCAGCAATTCTGCAAGGAAACCAAGGGGCACTTGCCCCCAACAGCCCTCCTGAACCTTTCTCGCCCCGCCCAGCGCCGGGCACCTCGCGCACAGCCTTCTCGATAGGCTCAACTTCCGCCGCGCGCCACTTCTCGCGAGACTTCGGCGGCGCAGCAATGGCGAGATCGTGAGCACGGCAGACGGGGTTCCGGAGGCCGGACAGTGGGGCGACCGGGCCCGGGGGCCCCCCGACAAGCTAGATCCCCTGGAGCGGGGCGGCGGCCGGGGCGCGAGGCCCTCGGGGCCCGAACGGACACCCTTACCCCGCCCCCGCCTTTCCCCCCCAGATGCCGCGTCACTGCTCGGCCGCCGGCTGCTGCACACGGGACACGCGCGAAACGCGCAACCGCGGCATCTCCTTCCACAGGTCAGCGCGCGTGCGTGCTGGCGCGCCCGATGCCCACAGGCGCATGCGCCGCGCTCGGACGCCCGCCCTCTCCGGTGGGGGCGGGCCTCGAACCCGCGCGGGGCGGGGGCGCGGAGGCAGCGGTGTCTAGCGGGCCCCGTGGCGAGCGCTCGGGAAGGGCGGAGTGCGAGGTGGGCCAGCGGAATCCCCCCTCGACCCATGCCGCCGCGCCGGCCGCTGCCCCCCTCGAGGACCCTCTGCTCTGGGCCCCGGCCGGCGCTCAGGGCTCTGTGGCCCCGCAGGCTCCCCAAGAAGGACAACCCGCGGCGAGGCCTGTGGTTG